TCACTATTTTTTAACGAAAATCTCAGTCAAATTCTTATCTCATCTTATCTAAAATCGGACGGAAGACCCACTCGTTGCTCGCAACGAGTTCGCATCTAGTTATTATTATTTTTCTTCCAACCGATTTTGTGCACGCGATTTCTCAGAAACGGCTGGACCGATTTATACCAAACTTTCAGATGTAAAAGATATTCAATTGATCTTGATAGGTTTTTTTGTTTTTTGATGACGTCACTTCCGGTCGTGAGATATTGACGATTTTCTGATTTTCAGAGGGTCGGCTTGTCCTGGAAACTCCTCCTAAACAACTAAAGCTATTGAGTTAAGATTTTCAGTGAAGATAGAGGAAAGATTGTAGATGTGCAATTGGGCATCTATATCTTTCCAGCTGAAATGGCGTTGAAGCTCGCCTGGGCTCGAAAAATAGGCTCACAAACATCTCGCAAAATTTGACACGTTTTCTTTTATATCTTTTTACCTGTAAATATTTTGTTAAAACATGTAGTACAAAAGATGTGTAAAATGATAAGACCTTTCATTTGATATCGAGAAAAAAGGGCTGATCCCTCAAATTAGGGGCTCAGAGGGGCCAAAAGTCTTTTAAATATAACTCTTGAATGATCAATCTTTTGTAATAAATTACTGAAGCAAAAATATTCATCTTATCGATTTACAACTATATGTTTTAAAATTTTGATCATATGTTACGTAATAAGGGGCCAAAAGGGGCCAGAATGCTAAATCTTTGACGCTTTATATCTCAAAAAGGGGGAATATTTTGAAAAGCAATATTGAACAAAAGATGTTCAGAATAATGTTTTAAACAATATGCAACCTTTCAATTTTTGCAAAACGGCCACTTTAAGGACTTGAAGGGCTGGTCCCTATATATATCAATTCAGCATATCTCGAAAACGAAAACAAATTTCTGAATAGTTGTTGAACAAAAAGTCTTCAAAATCACAAGACCTTTCATTTGATATCAAGAAAAAGAGGCTGACTCATCAAATTAGGGGCTCAGAGGGGCCAAAAGTCTTTCATCTTTAACTCTTTAACGAACAATAATTTGTAATACATTACTGAAGCAAAGATGCTTATCTTAACGATTTACAACAATATATGATAAGATACTTATCATGCGTTACGTTATAAGGGGTCACAAGGGGCCAGAATGCTAAATCTTTGACGCTTTATATCTCGAAAAGGGGGAATATTTTGATAAGCAATACTGAACAAAATATGGTCAGAATAATGTTCTAAACAACATGCACTCTTTCAATTTTTGTCAGAGCTTTGACGCTTTATATCTCGAAAAGGGGGAATATTTTGAAAAGCAATACTGAACAAAATATGGTCAGAATAATGTTCTAAACAATATGCACCCTTTCAATTTCTGTCAAACGGCCCCATTAAGGACTTGGAGGGGTGGCCCCTAAATATTTCCATTCAGCATATTTCCACAACGGAAAGAAATCTCTGAATAGTTGTTGAACAAAACGTTTTCAAAATCACAAGACCTTTCAATTGATATCAAGAAAAAGGGGTTGCCCCTCAAACTAGGGGTTCAGAGGGGCCAAAAGCAATTCATCGATAGCTCTTTGATAATGTATATAAAATCAAAGGATTGAAATCTAATTAGGGAAGTCTATATATATTATTATCTTTTAACAAAGATCATAGTCAAAATCATATCTCATCTTATCGAGAAATCGGACGGAAGACCTACTCGTTGCTCGCAACGAGATCTCATCTAGTTATTATTATTATTATTATTGAAGACCTTCAAAGACTACGAAGGGTTATCAAAAAGTTCGTGGACTGATCAGATAAAATTAATACCATGTAGTCTGCGCTTACAAAATTTATAAGGAACATAAAACAATAAAAGTTTAAGAAATGTTGAGAAAATTTTAGCTTGATACGTTGATAATTTGCCAAATTATCATGATATAAAAAGACATTATATGATCACCCGGCGCTGTCGCCGTTTAGTTTCATGACGTCGGACAACGTCATTGTTTCTCAATGTCCGCTCTCTCTACCTCATACACTTATCTTGATGAGATTACCTGGAGTTAAGTAAGGATTTAAGCCCGTCTTGTTTAAATGTCTTTACAATGTAATGAACAGCTGCTTTCAATTCATATAATATTGTAAATGGATCTATACATAGGGAAAGATCCTCACTTGATTATACCATAACACTTAGCTTGCTGAAGTTCAATTTCTACGTATACCATACATGATCAACGTCACTTTTCGATGTGACTGACTTTTGACATCCTAACTACAAATCGACATTAACTGTGCATCTTTCATCTCTTTGAATCTTTTTGGGCATTTAAAAACAAGTACTATGGATGTATTTTATTTTTCTGTAGCCCGTTTAAACATTCCTTAGGTCTATACCAGTTTTTCCAGGAGAGAAACTTTATAGAATGTTGGAAAAAGAAACCCCTCCCCCTTTTTGACGTCATTTTCAAGCCCATAATTGTTCGGATACTCCATATAGAATTTACGATAAAATTTCATAGAACTTACAGAATCGGGTAAAAATGACAAAATTTACGGAACAATTCTGTCGTTCCACATGCCTGAATTAGAGAGATTTTTTGATGACAAATGCTCATATCAAAAGAGTTTTTCTCAGTTACACTCAGGTGGAAAAAAACGTCGTATTTGAGGTTGCACCGCCTGGACATACCATTGCTTACAAAAACGTTAACAACGTATTAAAAAATAAAACTTATGATTTATGGTTTATTCTATAGATAGAAAAGATGATGCTGACTAAATGTGTAAAAAAAAATCATTGATGTACCTAAAACGGTTTTGATTTTATGGCGATAGTCCACGAACTTTTTGATAACCCCTCGTGCATAGATGTCAATGAGAACGCCAGCATGCATCCTTTTAATATCAACTTCAGAGTACTTGTGTGTAGAATCAGAGTGATTTTTAACAAAGTAATTTTGTTGATGACCATTCACAAGATATGAATATTTTCGAGTTCCTTTTTTATTGAAAAAGCAGTTTTCTATGATATCAAAAAGACAATTTTTAATTTATCAGGAGGAATGGTTGTATAAAGTGTTAAAAAAAGTCTTACGTTTTGATGTTACTGACTTCTGAAAAAAAAAGTGAGTTTTAATTTTTCTAAAAGTTCTTTTAATTATTTGAGAATCCACATTTGATTAACACCACTTCTCGAATATGCTGTAGGACAGTACTCTGACGTTTCTCCTTTACAGCAGTTAATTTTTTGTGAGGACTAAAGAGGGGCCTTTGAAGAGCATTTGCTGGACTCGACAATTATTTTCGTATGGATTTATAATATGTAGTTTAGGAATCCAGTAAAGGCAGAGTAAATCGAATTCCCCTTCGTTGACAGTATTAAATACTGAAATATAATTTTGAAGAATTTCATCCTTAGAAAGTGAACTGTGAGTATTTGTTGGATTTCCAGACGTAGAATTAAAACCAAGTTCTTCTAAATTACAGTATAATGAACCTTACAAACAAAGACGATGTTGTTACAAGTCTTGTCTGCTGGAAGCATAACATATTGTTAATGTGGTATTTCTGATTCTTTTATCACCTCCAATTTAGTATTAATTATTCTTTATTGCATAATACACCCATATGGGTCAAGCAATACAATTCATAATAAGAAAAAAAAACCAAAGAACAATGAATGTATTTATACAATAGGTGCAGTTTAAGTAATTTACTCCTTATATGTTACACCGATGTGGACCTTTTATTTATTCTAATGATTGTTTTATAAAAGTGAAAACAGCCGGTATAACTTCAATAGTTGGGCTAAGTATATATTCAAGTTTCTGTATGGGTGATTTGAGATAGAATGAGGAACAATTATCTAACATGGTTTTTATAAATATATTCCTTGCTTGTATATTCAAATTACATTGTAAAAAGAAATGAAATTCATCATCAATAGCATTACATGAAGTGCATAATCTTTGTTGTCGAGGTATTTTCTTATGTTTACCAGTTTCAATCAGTAGGCAGTGGTCACTTGTTCGAAACTTAGTTAGTAATTGTCTATTCTTGAAACTATTTTCAAGCATAAGATATTCTTCCATACTAAGATTGTGTTTTATTTTACTGTACAAATACAGTTTGGAGTTTTCTGTGAATTTGGATATTTTTTCCATAGTTTTGCCTTTATAATTATCTAGTACTATTTTCTTCAACTTCTTTTTAACCGAATTTCGAATGTTGAAAACGGGAAGATAGAATGTTGGTATATTGCCTTTTAACTTTCTAACACGCTTTATCTGTAATATATAACTAACATACCTTAGGTATTCATTTTCGAAACGTAATCATTTTATCAATTCTTATTTAACTCGTGATTTTCTATTTTAAGAATAATTCGATCTTAAACTAACATAAACAGTTAAAAAGTTCCTTCTGAATTTAAAATTATCACGATAACAGGGCAGTTTACTGTTCATTTTAATGCATATAACTGTATAGCAACATAGAAGGAAAAAACAAACATACGTGATTTTCCTCGAAATTGAAAATAAACAGGTAACGTTTAAAGATTACAAAAAACAGCATTTTTAAAAGCTCAGATTTCATATAAAAGTGATAGTGTAAATATAGGAAGATCAATTTCATATTGCCACACATGAAAAGTAGTTACAGTCTTAACAACGTAGTTATAAAATATAAAACGTGACGGAAGGAAATATTAAGAAACTCCTTGGATTTCACCATTGGATATAAACTATGTAAGTAATTATTAAAAATGGATTATTATAGCTAGTAAATAATTTACAATGTATTACGTGTACATATACATGTTGTAAAATACGAATGTAGAAAATTAATTTGTCATTTCCAAATTGATTTTATAGGTGAAACGAAGTACTTTTGATAATCTGATGATCAGATATATCCCACCTTAGTATCAGGGAATTTATTTTCTTTATTCTTATTTTTTCTGAAAAAAGTGGTAAAAAAGGACTATGCCATTTATACAGCGGTGTTTATATCCCATCAGCGTTAGTGGGGTAGAGGTGGGAGATGGCATTAAAAATGAGTTGGAATGCGTGACCAATCACACGCTTAGTAACATAATTCTACAGCTCAGCAGTCTCAACAAGCATGCGGAGGACATGTTTACTGAACTGTCACAGGAAGTGCAGACGTTCAGGGAGCGTGCACGGCAACTCCTGGGTAGAATAGACCATCTACAGGAGAAGGTCACCAGACTGAATCCTGATGGAGAACATGGTAGGATGAAATTATAATAGGCTTATGAGACTACTTTGGGAGAAGGATATGGGTTATAAATATAGGTGCCTTTATTGTTCACTGTTGATTATATTCATTGTTTATGGTATCGTTTACAAGTTTATTCCTTGAGAACTCCTTTTTTCTATAGATTACATGTAGCAGTATATATAGAAAGATAGAGAGAAAAATCAAGATTATATTGCTTTTTATACATTTGTGATTTTATATATATGTCGATAATTGACTCATGATATTCCTCATAATCTTTGATGCTGAATGCAATATCTGAAAAGTTCTGTTTAGTTTCCATCAACAATGTAGCCAAGAGGACACCATACAAGAGCTCTACCCGACTTGACCAGCAAGTCGTATCTAGATGTACAGTACCACAATGTGTACTTAAAGCTTACAGTCAGTGTGAAGCTAAACCTGCATTGGAAAAACTTAACCAATACAGGTAAATTCAAAAAGGAAAGACAACTACGATATGTTTCCAAACGCGTGAAGTAAGATGAAGTATATTGCTAAAGCTAGTATCAATCATTAAGTTAAGGTTTCCTAATCTATTTTCAGGTATTTTGATTAGGACATTAGATCTTGTGACTTTATAATGATAGCAATCCAAGGGTGAAAAATATCATTTGATTTGAAAAAGGAAAGATTTATATCCCTCGCTTTCATTACTTAGTCTTTCGAAGAATTCTGATTAGCTTAAATTGGAGCAAGGGGCCTTCTGCCGATCTCAGGACAACACTGACGCAAAAATCTTGTATACAGACACGTAGATCGACATTAAATTTAAGGGTAACGACTATCTGCACTTAATTTTATGGATTTTCAGTTGAAAGAGAGATGAATAAAAAAGCCCTTATTCTCAATGAATACTCAAGAAGAAGTACCTACATGATATTTTAAAATAATCCGTCCAAAAGCTTTAATAATCTTGAAAGAAATTTTTTTTTAACTTCTTCGAGGCAACAGTTTACCACTAGCCTAATTAACACATATACACACTTATTTGAGCAAGTCAAGCATCTGAAAAACCCTTCCAATCTTAGTTTTTGAATGGTTTTGAAATACAGTACATGTATAATTGCTCGTTTCCAGAAAAGTCATGTTGCCAGATATAGGTGCATTGTCTTAATCTTATCATATGAAGTATATAATAATTTTATGTACTATTATTAAAGAGCTGATGGACGCGACTGTTTGAAGTTTTACACCAATCCGAATTTTTTCATCGAGTTGTGGCTCATGGAGATCCAGAGAGATATCAGGATAAAAGAAAAAGAAAAGGAATCAAGGGCTAAAAAAGAGAAGGTAATCGATTGATTAATTTTATTTTAATGGGACTAAAGAACAAGTGCTATTTTAGTGTGAATTTTAGAATTCTTTAAACGAATTATAAGTACACACCCTCTGTACCAAATAATTGTGGTTAAAACAAATATGCATCAATATTGTTCGTTTTAAACGCATTAGTTCTTCTCTTTAAAATTTTAAAATGACGCTGTAAAAGCAACGACTTCTGTATTGCTGAATATTGTTTCTGCAGAGAACAAAGAAAGATAGTCATCGAAAGAGAACACCTCGATATCTTCCAAGTATAGTACAGAAATATGAGCATAGAAAACATGGAGTGGAGTTTTCATCCAATTATTCTGGTTCCGTTAAAGCAAATGCATTTAACAACCAACCTAGGCCAAGTCATTTGGATGTGTATGAAAGAAAGCCAGATAATAAATGCAATGACCATAGGGGTCAACAACCTCATCATACTGAACCCCAGTATTCCCATGATGTACCCAAACAATCTAAAATTCACATTGAGAAAAATAATAATGCTGGGTTAACTGAAACTCAACACCCTCTTATTATTCAAAGTAAGATCTCAAATCTTCAAAAGCAAATTTCAAAGACTATGTCACTTCGAGCTACAGCAAGGCCAAGTCAGCCCCCTCCACCACCCCCTCCGACATATAAGCTACTTCCTGACACTTCAGCATTTCAACGACAGTCTCCTACTTTACAAGATTTATCGCCTTCAACCCTGCCACCCCTTCTTTATACAAATGAAAATTTACCCCTTCCCCCTCCCCCACCACCACCATTTATGGACGAAGAGGAGCCAATGCCTCCCCCGCCCCCACCTCCACCATATATGGAACAAATGATTGCACCTCCTCCACCCCCACCATTACCACCGCTAATGGGAAAATCTAAAAATGAGTTTGATGATGAAAAATCTTCGAACTGGGTTACTTCCTTAAAGAGTCTTCTTTCTGCTTCTCGTAAGCTGAAACCAACTCCAAAGCAACAACCTAAAGATGACAATAGAAGTAAACTGTTACAAGAGATCAAAGAATTTGGCCAAGGTAAGTCGAAATGTTTGGGTATTTATGCGATTTATAATGAATATAATTATCATCAAGATATAATGATAAAATGTTTTCTGAAAGAAGAGGCAATTTAAACCATTTGTAACAATAAGATGCTATGAATCGCAATAATGATGTACAAAAATGTAACAAGAATATTTCTGCTTTATGATACTTATTACTTATAAATAATAACTGGAATATTGTTCATTATTTTTCGATAAAGGAAAATTACGTCCGGTAAAAAAGCCATGGGAGGAAAAAATAGAAGAGAAGCCTATACCTGCTGCAAACATTGATGTACATGCCCTTATGGAAAAGATGCTGAGCATAAGTGAAATGATACCAAGTGATGTGGAAGATGAGGAGAATAGTTCCGATGATGATGATTGGAATTGATCACCCTAAACAACACAATGTTTCTTATACAGTGAAACTTGCTTCTAAGAAAGTCCTAGGTTGTGAATTTTTAGTTTCTATGTCGCTGAAATTCTTTTTTTTTTTATCGATATTTTAGAAAAAAAATTCATGATATGAAGGACGGGGAAGAGATTTAGTTTTTGCATTACCTAAATTTCCATATATTATAGGTCCTTATAGGCAAGTTTTACTGTACCACGATGGTTGTCTTTTCCCAATATATGCCATGATATACAAACAAAATGAAATTAAAGTAATAATATATCCTGATTTGTCTAGATTACCGTGTATGACTGAATTTAAGTTGTGATAAGAGCACCTGTGATTTTCTATTCCTGTCATTTTGCATTTTATATTTTAAGTAGAAGCACAGATATAATTATTTTATCATCTATAGGATCAATGTTTCAACATACAACACGTACTGTACAAAAACAGGACATTTAAAAAAAGGTGTGGGTGACCGTTTATATATATATATATATATATATATATATATATATATATATATATATATATATATATATATATATATATATATATATATATATATATATATATATATATATATACACTGAACCAAACTTCTAGGTGTTCACCTAACATTTTTTTAAGTTATAAAGAACAAATGCATACAATAAATAATTTCTTTAACTCATGGTTGATAAGGCATATTTCAGTTCGATGTTGCGTAAATTTCATGTAAGTATCTCGTCAGACTTTAAAGCAAAGTGTCAAGGACATGATGTACCCTCAAAATGAAATTTCACATAAAATAATCTATATGGAGTAAGACCACCACTCGTTCAAATTATTGCAAGACATCCTTTTCTCATGGATACCATGTACCCTTGAATAGGAGGTTGATCTATCTGCTGCCACACCTACTGCATGGATCTTTCTAAACCGTTTAAATTGTGTGGAAGGGGGAGGGGGGGGGGGGCTTGGACATTCCTTTTGAAAGTCCCAAATGTGTTCAATGGGATTTAGATCCGGGTATTTGGCAGGCCAGTGCATCACACAGATGCCTTTTTGTCAACACTTAGACCCTCGAGCTTCTTGGGCGTTACGCAAATAAGTGTACCTTTTTAAGGATGATTCAGACTGTTTGAGATGATATTGGACTGCCATGAGCACCAATTTGTTGCCAATTTCTTACCATTTAAGTTGCTGCTTTAAATGTTTCTAAAGTGGTTCAGGACCATGTAACAATCTTTTAACCTGGTTGTGACGCGAAACCTTGGCCTCAGACGAAGATCCAGATCACTTCCGGTTTGGTTAAATTTTGTCCAAAGCTTTCAAACTGGGATAAGTTGGAGATAAAAATGAAACATAACCTATAGAAAAATGTGTTTAAATGGATTTTTATACTGGTTGTTAATTTTTAAAAGTAATATCAAGGACAAATAAACAGTAAAATAAAAGTTTGTAAAACGTGTCGTAAGGATGATCCAGATATCAACATTCCAACGGCTCTCCCTCCTTCCTCAATGGTCATTTTGCCCATGTTTTGTGTTTTTTAGTTAAAACAGTTGTTAAAAATTGATAATGATCACAAAAAGAAGCTGATTACACAAAGCACGCGTCGCAAAGTACAGATTTATTGTTTTTAAGCTTCGTCACGGGACATTGGTTTTCATCGGTGATAAGTGATTTTCTTTTGACAATTGTTGAGAAGACTCATTGGTTATAATAATTTGAAAATATCAGAATATTCCATCATGTAGTTTTTAAATAAATGCATTTATTAGAGTGAACACTTAGAAGTTTTGTTAAGTGTATATATATATATATATATATATATATATATATATATATATATATATATATATATATATATATATATATATATATATATATATATATATATATATATATATATATATTACATTTTCAAAAGTGAAATACTGTGATTTATTTATTGAATAAAAGTGAAATTCTCTCACAGTGTGAAAGGATACCAAAATGATCTTCTCTCACAGTGTGAAAGGATATCAAAGTAAGCAAAAAATAATTTCTGGCCTGTCATAAGATAGAAATAGTAACTAAGCATCTTGATAAAGCTAAAACTGCAAATGTCTTCCCAAATATGTTGCTAAAATCCATGCTATGTACGTAATGTTTTCAATCACACAACTGCTAAGCCATGACGTCTCAACCGCTCAACTATGACGTCAAGCCTATGACACTGTGTTAAGAAAAGACAGAGGCAAAGGGAAAATCAAAGAAAATGTAATAAACAGAAAATTCAATGTTTTGTAGATGAATATGGAATTTATTTCACTCGTGAGACAGGATTTTTTTTATATTTTCACTCGTGCTTCGAACTCGTGAAAATATCAAAAAATCCTGTCCCACTCGTGAAATAAATTCCATATTCATCTACAAAACATTGAATATCCTCTCTCTCTCTCTCTCTCTCTCTCTCTCTCTATATATATATATATATACATTTCCAATGTCTTTGTCCGAGATAAAATTTCAAATAGTAAAAATACTTTATTTCTACATAAATCTACTGGTTCATTGATAGGCGTGGTGAAAAAAATCACGTGCAGTGCGGGAACAAATAGAGACAGAAGCGGGACTTGTAGCACGTGAATTTGCAGAATCAAGAGCATGTAAATATAAGGAATAACTGTCAGATTTTTTGGTTTCATGACGATGATCAATCGATTGGCTTGCGTGATAATTTTATGCATAAACGCCTTCGGCGTTTATGCAAATTATCACGCAAGCCAATCTACATATATATATATATATATATATATATATATATATATATATATATATATATATATATATATATATATATATATATATATATATATATATATATATATATAACACTGTAAATATTGAGTGTTTGGTAGTTTAGTAGTAGTGCTAGTTGTTTTTGTTTCTCTATTTCCTTTGTTTTTATGACTTCTTAACTTTTTTCTTGGTCCCGAGGAAGGGACAGGTTGTCCCGAAAATTTGACAATTATTATTGTTCGTGGCGTTTGTCATTTTTAGTGCTTTATATAAATTTCCATCCGTGACCTTGTCTCTACTTAGTAGATCCCACACTTAGGATATACAGTGTTGTTGGTTTTTATATAGTGCTTTATATATATATATATATATATATATATATATATATATATATATATATATATATATATATATATATATATATATATATATATATATATATGTATACACACACACATACATATGATTCCAAGCATGAAATATATGGAGATAACGAACAGTAATCAAGATCAAAAGTCCATTAAACAATACAAAATAGGAACAGAGCAAACACGGACCTCTAAAACATCAGAGGTGGGATCAGGTGCCATGGAGGAGTGAGCATCCCCTGCCGACCAGTCACTCCCGCCGTGTGCTCCTTGTCATGATCGGGAAATAACGGTAAAATCCGTCGACAATTCAGTTTGTAAATAATGGCCTAACAATTAGTATGAAAAACGTCAGTCAGCATTTGACTCAATGATAAATTGTATTTGCTGACAAGGTCATTGTATCGACCATAGAACTTACGAAATGATGACTTTAAACGAGACTGCTGATATTCTTGTTTCATCGACTTGTTTGTCAATAATTTACCACGTTTTAGAAATTGTACATACGTAGAGCATGCTCTAGCGTATCGAATCAACTGAGAGATATAAATCCCGTATGCAGGTGAAGAAGGTATATTGCTGCAAAAGTAAGGGAAGTTGACGATTGAAAAGTTAAAGTCATCACGTTTATCATAAAGTTTGGTTGTTAGATTACCATTAACGTCTTCAAGCAAAATATCCAAATATGAAACAGATGTGTCAGACTCTGTGGTATCTTTTATCTCAAGCTCACCGGGATATATCGTGTCGACATAAGAATGGAAATAACCATTGTTAATTGACAATACGTCGTCGATATATCTAAATGTCGTGTTGAAGGCCACAGCAAGTGGTTTCTTCTTTTCACGTATAAGATTTTGAACAAATTCTGCTTCATATGAATACAAAAAAGGTCTGCTTATAACGGGGCACAATTGGTACCCATGGAAATTCCAATAGATTGTTGGAAGACCTGGTCTCCAAAAACCACATAGATATTGTCAATCAGAAACTCAGGCATCTTTTTAATGTCAACTTCATAGTACTTGTGTGTACAATCAGAATGTTTTTTAACAAAATAATTTTGCAAATGTCCAATGACAAGGTAAGCAAATTTACGAGTTCCATTTTTATTGAAAAAGCAGCTGTCAATGATATCAAAAAGCCCTGGACTTCAACTTATCCTGGGGAATGGTTGTGTATAAAGTTGAAAAGTCATAAGTTTTTAAGCTGTTGATTTTGGTAAAATTTTGTGATTTTAAATTTTCCAAAAGTTCCTTGGAATTTTGAAGTATCCACGTCTGATTTACACCACTTCTGGAATATATTGTTGCACAGTACTCTTGAAGTTTCACCTTCACTACTGTTAATATCTTAGTGAGGAATAAAGAGGTTTGGTTGAACATTTACTGGAACCCGCTATGTTTCTTTGAAAGGATTTTTATGAAGTTTCGGAATCCAATATAGATATGGTAATTCAAATTCATTTTGGTTGTTTGGAATATTAAAAATATTCAAAACTGACATATGATTTTGAAGAATTTCTTTGAAGAATTTTGAAGCATGTATGTTGAAGGCAGAATATTTTGTTAAGATTTTCCCCTTAACAGACACATCCATATTGTGCAATCTACTTGCACTTGCAATATTGTAAAAATAAAAATAAAAAGCAATGCAGTATTTTAGTTAATTTCCTTTATTTATAACGCCATTCTATGTGTAGACTAGAAGGTCCTTTTACTTATATTTTTTCTCTACTTGTAAATATTCACCTATTTTTGAATATTTGCCTAATAGTCATGCATACATCAAAAGACCTTTATTTGCTTAGTTTGGTCACTTAAAAAAAGTATACAGTTGTTCCTATAAAGCAAAAGGGGAGTTTAAAGTGACATCATTTAGGTAATTATGATAAATAGATTCTCTGCTTGGAAATAGAAAGATGAGAAAATTTCTAAATTTAAAAAACCTAGAGAAATGTATTATAATGTCTACACTTTTACCCTAAGAACTTTTACATAAAAAACATTCAATATCACAGATTCAGTCATGTGTTCTTAATATAAGAATTTCGGTAGTCCTACAATTTACACCAAAAAGTGGATCCATTGCATTCACATGAAATCTTTCATAAATACTGAAATGACATTGCAATTGCAGTCAACATTGCAGTTTTAAAGGATCAGTACATGTAGCACTTAGGATTGTCCAGCTTGTCCAATATGTCAAGAATCCATGAGTCAATTCCCATGTAAAGTAGCACCAAACATCTGGGGCACAGATACATTTAGTACTATTTGTCTCTGACATCATTTAGTGGATTGTCTACTACAGATTGGTGTATCATAATAAATAAGGGGACATAAGTCAGGAAATCAAGTAGGTCAAGTGATTTAAGATGAGAGAGTTTTTCTCGCACCTCTCTTTCGTGTTTTTCGCTCACTCCACCAGCTCTGAGCTCGATGCATAATTGATCTATTGATATTCGGTTGGTTTCTTTGTCCACATTGCACTCCCAAAGTGTCTGTGATAAAGAAAGACATTTATGAAGGTGATTAAATCATTCAATACCATATAAATTAATTGACTGAAATAAATTACATGTATAATGCAAGGAATCTTTTAAAGTTAAATGCTTCATAAATAATGTAACTCATTTTACTGCATTTCAACAGTTAAGCATTTTTGGAAAAAAGTTCTTTTAAGTTTTAATTATAAAAAAAAATTAGCTAAATTAATTAGTTAATACACTTTAACATGTAAATTTCTTACTTTGCAAATGAATGTTTTCATTTCTAACATTCTGAAATCCATTGTGTCTATAAGAAGTTTCATCCAATCACTGAAAGAAATCGACATAACATTTTGCAATTTCTGGCATTTCAAACCTTGAATATTTAATATCATTGTAGTTGACATTTGAAATTTTTCAGATTTAAAGTTGATATATTAAAAATATTAGATATTTTTACTCACTCTACAGCAGAAATCCTGTGTGACAGAGCAGCCAGCACTGAAAAAAGTTTGAAGTCAGCACCTTTAGAAATGTTGTAGCCAGCAATCTCCAATATCTGAAAGATAATGCACAATTTCAAAACTGCTAGCTCTACAGAGAATACCATTCTGTGACAGTTTTAAATCAACTCAATGATCCTTCAATCAATAATTTCAAAACAATGAGAAGTGACACATGCTGATTAAAGATGTTCAGTTGATTGGCCAATTTATGTACGTATGAAGTTAATGTTCTGATATTTACTCTGTATAAATATTCTTCTTCCTGCATGGTCAGTCGGTTGTTAACTCCCCTTAATGCTATCATGGCTTCAATTCCATTCAACCATCCTTTACCTTCATCATCCACCTGTCCAATATTTCACAAACAAAATAAATTATATAATAATGGTCATGCTATGCAAAAAATATATTTGAAAATAATAAAGCATTTTACAAGGAATACTAGCTAGGTCTTCAAGTTGTTTTTATAAGAGTCAATGCATGGAGCACTGTCACCATGCAAACTTTGGAATTTCTTGTATATGAAATTGTTTTCTTTTAAAGAACATACCACATCAAATGTCCTTTTGTACATTTCCAAGTTTCCTCTATTGAAAATACAGTACTTTGCTAGGAATCCATCTGAAAATTAAAAATATAATGACAGATATTTTTCATACAGCCAATATATAAGTTTTCATTTATATTCATGAGACATAATTTTCATATATTTCCATTTCTAATTGTTTTCTCTGTGATAACTCTTTGAAAGTTAGGAGAGTTGATTTCTTGATCATTCTAATGGAATGCAAATTTTGCCAAGCGAAAGGTCAGTAGCTAAGAAGGCATAATATACATGTAATTCTCGTGCGGCTGTCTTTGTGTTTGACGTCAGTGGGCGGGGACTATTGAAATTGACATGTGAGGCCTCATGTAATTTAAATCTATTAGTCTACATTTTTAAAATCTAAATTTACCTTTTTATTTCAAAATGAAATGGAAATATAAGGAATCACTGTCTAGTTAGTAGAGTATGCCAGGACATCAACGATAGTTGGAAATGTGGGATAATTTAAGCATAACGCTGGCTTCACCCGTTATGCAAATTATCCCACGTTTCCAACTATCGTTGATGTCCTGGCATACTCTACTAACTAGACAGTGATTCCTTAAATATTCTTGATAGAGTACTTTGAACTTAAAGTAATTCCAGTTATTATTCATGATTATATGTACTTTTGTCCTCATATAGCCAAATTAAACACTAACAGAGCTCTTTCTAAACTGATTCTTAGAGTTTTATTCTCACAATGATATTGTATGATGTTACTAAATGCAAGATTAAGGATAATTTATTTACATGGATCAATATATATACAGTAAATTTTTATTATCATGAACTCGATGGGGTCAAGAAAAAAAAAAGCAATCTGTCGAAGGATTTTAAATATTGAGGTTCAAATAGTTACTGTAATACATAAAGGAAAAGTGATTGGGCTTCCAACTCACTTTGACAAGTCCATGGTGTATGATCAATGTAGCAGATACCGATTAAAGTCCAATGGTAAAATATCACAATATTTAGAATAGGTGCAATACTCAAATTCAATAAAATTTTTCAAAAAAATTAATCTACATTAAAAAAATATATTGTTCCAAAATTCATAATAGAAAATATATCTCCATATGACAATCAATTATAAATATAATGGTTCTTTGGGTTTAAAATGCAAGGCTTACTCCATTGTTGTCTTTTTATTGTGATAGATGTTTGAGGAGGGTTTAAAGTCAGCAAAGAAGGCAGTATTCCTACAGGGAAAATTTCCTTTTAAATAAGTGTAGATTTTGTGGTATCTGGGTAATGTATCCAACTTTAAATCTATTGAAATGGAATTATCAGTGATTTACAACACTTTTTAGGATTGTGAAGAGAGGACCCATGCCGAGATAATTATTAGAAAATGGCTATAAATGTACGTCTTAATTATTGCAACATATGTGTATTGTGTGGCTATGTTTATAGTATCAAATTTCAAACAAAACAAATAAAAAATGTTGGACAAGTTTTCCTTTCTCATAATTTTTATTGAAAACATAACTATATATTCATATCAGAAGTATAAATGAAATTTTACTTTCCTTAATCCCCCATATTTCTGCCAAAAATATAATAGCATTCATATTTCTAATAGTAACAATTTCATCATCATATGTACATGGGCACAGTATTAAAAGGAACTTAAAGGTTCAAACAAATATTTCCAGATATGACAATAGGTCTTCATTTAACTACTGTCTTTATTTACGAGTAGGTTCACACTGACAAATGTTTATCATTTTTAAAATCATGCAAAAATAAGTTTAAATTCAATTTTGAGGAGAAATGACAAAATACAAAATAAAAAAAAAAAGAGAAAACTTACAATCATCAAAACTTGGTACCCCATCAATATATTCAACATCGACCTCCACTTGACCCTGCCTCGATTTCATTTTTTCTAACAGCTCCATCTGCTTTTGCCTTCTCCTTTCTAGCATTTCCTGTCTACGAAGCTCATCTTCGTAGGATGTGTCTTTTTTGAAGGATTTGCGCCTATTGTTCAGTTTCTGTTGTAACTTTATGGGTGAGGATAACCAGTTTTTGTTTTTTGTTGGAGAGGGGCTCTTGGAGGGTAAAGATGCATCTGGCAGTGGGGGCTCTTCAAACTTTACTTGGGGTAAAGAACTTGCAATATCTGAAAAAATGTTATTTTGTAATAGTTAATATCAAGACCAAAATTTATCTCAAAATATTCTTAATCTCTTTCCTCTTTTACATAAAATTTAATCCCTTTTTTAAAAAAAAACTTCTCTAGCTATCATTCTCACTCTCTCTCTTGTAAAAAATATTAGTGCACTTTTTGCGCATTTCAGTTTTTAAGTATTGCACAATGTCTTGAATTTGAGGTATCCGTAGACTGAATTATTTTACCTTCATACAGACACATATCTGAATGGAAGCACTAAATAATGTGGTTGCCTCCCCAATTTACCTGTGGGTAGTTCCGGCACTGAGGGTAACTCTGGTAAATCTGGAGTAGGAGGGGTGGGGGGTCTAGGGGGTGGAGAAGGAGGTTTGGGGGCCCTCTTCTTCTCTAGGTTAAGGTTTCTGGCCAAAGATTGTCTCCTCCTTGACTGTGCATCAGAGGTACTTATCTGAAAAAAAAGCATTTCTTGGAATCATAATTTTTATCTTTCAAATAGCACTCTATAAAATTTAATTAATCTTAACATTTTTTTTAATTTCTAATTTTAAAAAAGCCCAATTGCAATAAGGGGGCATTATTGGCTTTTTTTGTCAATGTGTTATTTTTTCCCCAAAGGAAATAGATACCTTGAACATGAAAAATCCAATCACTTTGCAAGCTAGGTGATCATACTTACATGTTTGCTTTAAAAAAAAATCATAGGAATTACAGCCTCAGAGAGTAAATTCTCAGAGAGTAAATTTCATAAAATAGAAGTCTGAAGCTCGGTAAGATTGTTTTATCTGAATTAGTCTCACTAGCATGTCAGTTTGAAATTAACAATCACACATCTATATATCCTCATAAATGTCACCAACTAAATGAAAATTCTCTCTGACAATATTAGTTAAATCTGAAACGTTCTTACATCTTCAGATAAAAGCATTGGCTTTAATAATCTAGAATAATACCTCAAGGTATAAACCAATATTGTTGGTATGCTATGAATTGTACATTGGGCACAACCTTCCAATTTATTTACTCAATTTTACGTTGATGATCAAATTCCTAGGTTGAAAATGGGTTTTTAATGCCCGATTGAATTTAATTGAAAAGGAGAAAACAATCTATATCATTTTAATCTTGGAGACACAAAAGTTCTTTGAAGTCCTGCAAGACATCTGTGAATCAGATTTTTGAAATCAAGATTTTCTAAATCCCTCTTGTTCAATACTGCCTGTTAAATCTTCATTCACTCCATTAAATAAATGTATACAAAGACAGAAGTAAATAAAGACATAGAGATTTAAATTAATCCTCAATTTGTAGAGAATTATTTACAAAAAGATGACATTTCTATATATGTGTCACAATGTTGAGTGGTTTTGTGTGTCACAACGGAAACTCTATAGTCCTATAGAAAAAATACATTTTAGGGATATGGTTATTAAGTAAATATTGGAACAATTTGCACTCTGTTTGCCCTTTATGTGAGTTATCCATAAATTCCTTTGTGAATTAATTCAAACTTAATAATATGCTACATCAATTGTCTTTTTTTTTTTAACAATTCTTAAACTGAATCTTAATCAATGAAAAAAAAATTGAACAATGAACCAAATGCTCAGAGTATCTGACTTCAGTATTTGACACTGTCACTCAGAACCAGTGAGAAAAAGAATTTGCTGTGCAATCAAGACCATCACTACACTTTGTTGTTTTTTAAAGTTGTTGTGTGAATGTGTTTTTTTTTTTTCAAAGTTGTTGTGTGAGTGTGTTGTGCCAATTATTACAGTGTTTCCCAATACCAGACATGTTTTTCAGAGGGTGATTTCAAGTACAAGTACATGTACCACAATGGAGACTCCCACCAAAAATGTGTGCATGACTTCCAAAACCCATCACTGTTGGTGGCAGTGATGCCTTACCTTAAAATCTGGGAGGGGAGGGGCCAAAGTAAAATTACTCAACTCTCGCAGAGTTTGAGAAATCCCTCCAATAGGTTCATCTTCCTGGAACCATCACACACACATGTATACAAGATCAGTAGAAGGTCAGATATGGTTGTTATATTGGTCATTAGATGACTATTTTAACATATTAAATCTGTCTTATGAAACTTTACTGAATATTATTTTTTAAAGAAATAAGTGGTTAGTCTGTTGTGGACTAAAATGAATGATCACAGAACATTGATACTGTTTAGTATGAATAGGGTAGGTGCAAATAATATCACAATAAAACAATACTTTGCAAGTTTGTATGGAAATTTCAATACTACTGCACAAGTGTGTTGATTGTTAGTTTATTGACTGGTTATTTTCAGGAGTAAGGAATTTTATTTTGTTTTCCTACAAAATCAAATAATATGCCTTTACAGTGCACTAAAACTTCTGCAAATAAACCGAGCTTGCACTTTGTTACATAAAAGCATATTCACGTCAGATCTGATCACACGACCAACATCACAACAAGCTACCATACTCTACTGGTACCTGAGTTTCTGGTTCTTTGGGCATCTTTGGTTGTACAACCGGTTTGGGCAAAGACCGAGGCAGGGTAATTCCCTCTTTCTTAGCAGCACAAATATATTACAGATGTGTTAAAATTAAAGTATTATTTCCCCTAACTTTTTTCAATGAAAATTCTAGTGAAAGTCTAATGGTAATAAAATCCTTGCTGGTAAAGTCACATGTTGGTTGTACAGAACCAGATAAGACTAAAATAACATTACATGTATAATTTTGTAATGAAAAAGAATTCAGTTTATTTCTACACTTATAAAAGCTTGAATGAATATGATTTTACCTCTATGATTTTAAAAGGAGGATTAAAAAAAACCTTTATAAACCATCCCCAAATTAAATTTAGAATACACAGATGAACCTACCCTGGTCTTTTTGACTGGTTCCTTCCTCTGACTTTCTGATCCAGCTATAAGTGATAGAGGCCCTGTCTTGGTGTCACCTATTGTAGGAATAGACACTGGGGATTCCTTTCTCTCGGTTTCCTGACCTTCATCCTCTTCATCTTCTGTAAATGCAAGTTTAAGCAGTATGAAAGTTAGAATGTCAGAGATTAAAAGAAAGAGCTGGAGAGAGAGGATGGGAGAGAGAGGGGGGAAAAGAGAGAGTGGAAGAGAGGAGTGGGAGAGAGAATGAAGAGGGAATAGGAGAGAGAGAGAGAAATGGAGACATTTGGAGAGACAATGGAGAGAAAGAGTTTGTGTGTGGATTAAAAAAAGTTGGAAATTAAAGAGATGATGGATAGAGTTGGAGAGAGAGAATGGAAAAAGTTTTAGAGAAAGGATGGAAATAGAGAATGTAAGAGATAAAAGAAAGTGGGAAAGAGATGATTGAGAGAGTGAGAGAGGATAGAGAGAAAGTAAAGATTGAAAAAGGATGGAGAGGATGGAGAGTGGGACACAGAACAGAGAGACATAGGCAAAATAAAATTAAGATACATTGTAGAGACATTCTTGTCTTCTTTTTACATAAATGCTCATTGGTGCAGAAACACTTATTCACTTGTGTTATTATTAAAGAATGTTTGTGACTTGAATGATCATCCAATAAGCATTGAACAGTTTTACAAAATATTTTGAAGTAAACAACACCAAGAGCAAACAGATTCATGCAGTCCTTGGAATTCCTATCTTTTTCTACAGCAAGGTACTAGCAATGATTTTATGGCAAAATCAACATCAGCTAGGGTATACTATAGTGGCTAAGTTCAATATATTCAGGAAACACTTTGATAAAGCTTTTGGGGATAAATATAAGTGTTCTTTCCTCTAATAAATACACTCTTTCAAGAGAAGAGGTAAATATTTTGGTGATGAATCAAATTATTTTTTATGACCTAAACAAAGTATTGAAATATTTTATTATACCTCTTGGCAATAACTTTCCAAAAGCAGTCTTTGAATGGGTATGATAGTTAGATTGATTGATTGTATCTTGCTTTACGTCCCATTTGAGAATTTTTCACTCATATAGAGACGTCACCATATACTGGTGAAGGGCTTCAAATTTTGACCTTTACTTGGCACTCAGGGCCATGAGCAGTGAGGGATCTTTTACGTGCCAATGCCTGCTACGACACGGGGCCTCGGTTTTTAAGGTCTCATCCGAAAGGACCTGCAACTTTCATTCAAAGTGCCGAGCGCATGGCGAAGGAACAGTTGCTACCCATTTCTTAACGACTTAGGTGAGTCACAGCCGAGATTCGAACTCATGACCTTCCGATCACGAAGCGGGCACTCTACCGATTGAGCTACGGTACTGTGAATGGTAGTATGACAGTAAGAAATCATGTGCAAGTTTTTTTTTTTAATTTTTCTTTATTTTATTAATTTTTCATTTTTTTTTTTAAGTGTATGAATATGGCATATGATCAACACTGAAAACAAAAATGAAGCATAGTGTACAAAAGAGGAGATAACTCTTTTATTTGACTTTCTGCAGGTGAAAAGGTGTTCAGGATGATTCACTTGAGCATGCAACAACAGGTGTATACACTGATTTGTGAAAAAGCAGCTGCTGCATGCAAACGGTGACCTGATTACCTCCCCCTAGTTCCAGCTGGGATATTCCAGGCAGCCGTGGAGTATTTGGAATAGAAGAGCTAGGAGTAGGTCCCTTATTGACAGATTTCTTTTTTACTGAATTCAGCGATAAAGTAAAAAGTCAGGACAGTTAAATATAAACCTTATTCAGTGGAGAAGCTTGAGAGAGAAATTCTACATTGTTTATGTGTCATTAACTAGTCTATACTACCAACTGAAAGCAGTGAATATTCAATTTTTTTTTAGTTATGCCAATGTCATTATCTTTAAAGATACATTCATATAAATCAAGCTTCATAATATTTTATTTTGCATAAAAATGAGGTATTTCATCTGATTCTATATCAATGCAGTCAATAGTAACTTCAAACCAAAAACTGATAATATTTACTTTATGGTGAATCAATTTATTTGTCAATAATCCAGAACTAATTTTACCTGAGTCTCCTTTGCTATTTTTAGGTTTCCGGCTGCTGGTTTTGGTGACTACTTTCGTCTTTGGTTTGCTGCCTTTCTTTTCTGTTTGCATCACTGATTTAACCTTTGACACGCTCAGCTTGTTACTTGGGACTGAAAGGATATATAATTTCTAGAATATCTTGAAATTCCTCAAATCCAAAAATCATGATATTTCACATTCTTTCTGGAACCCAGTTGAAAGAGATATGTCATTTAAATGCTGTACCTACATTTGTACAATAGAACTATCAAAAAATTACCTTTTTTAACTTTCTTTGCTTCTGAAATAAAAAAAAAGATTAAAATCACTCATACATGGGGAACATGATCAATATATTATAAGTAAACACTGTCATATTTTTTTATGAAATCAATATACAATCATCTAAGAACTACATTCTGCATTCCCTGTGTTATCTAATGAATATCATGAAGCACAATGATAATGTTATGTAATAGCAATGGGATACATATTACTGCATATGACAAAACACATTGTCTGAAAAGTATACTTATATATTGAAAATATTAGTCATATACAAAACACAAAAACACATTGTTAAATTTTATATAGATATATAGAAAGGAATGTTAGTGATCGACTTACATTTCTTCCTTTTGATTTTCAATAATTTTATGACAATACTTGTATTTCATATAGTAATTATCTTAATGTCGAACTCTGTTATAACATTATAAATCTAACATTCACATGATTAACATTTTGTATGAATATGACAATTTTCATATTATTTTTGTCGCTCCATTAAGCAAGATCATAACAAAGGAACAAAATGGTACAGATGAATATTGTTTGCTTAGTTAGATGCTACAGGTAGTTATGAAAAAGATACTTTTCTTTCATCCATTTTCCCCTCCAATTGAAGAAGATATTTTAAAGGGGAACAACTCTGAAATCATTAACTGATAAGCAACAACATTATATATTAAACAGCATTTGTTATCCAGGGTAATTGATTAAAATCTAAACGAAAAAAACAGATATATTATTAAAGGTATAGGAATATTAATTATTATTGTAGGAATACAGTCGTACAGGAGTACACAGTTATGATGGCTGACACGTAAACTTACTCCTTGGGGTAGATGGCAGTATATCTAAATGCAGATCCTCTATTGCTTCTTCTAGTTGGAGAAAACAGGAAAAAAATTCACTCTTTTTAATTTACAATACATGATTGCAAATTTTGAAAAAAAAAAAAAAAAATACTATTTGCATTTAAACTAACATAAGTTTTTATTATACCCTCTCTCTTTTCATACCACTGATGATTTGATGATTTTCTTCCAACTTATTTCCAATAATTTTAGCAAACAAAGAATGTTTGTATCAGTCTATCAACTTATGAAAACTAGGGTGCCCGTATACATTTACGTACGTGTACAACAGTTGAGTACATGTTTATATTTACATTCCAGACATTTCCATACATGTTTTCAAGCTTCAATGATGAAGGTAATAATTTATAGAACAGAGAACAAGAAAACATTACATTGATAATCAAATAGTGCTGTACATAATAGAATAATCATGCATTGGAGGAAAAGAAATACTGTACAACACAAATACATTTTCACCGAGTCAGATGAAAATACTCTTTATGAGCATGCAGCACTGAATCTGAATGATTCGTACACATGTAATAACATGTCTATGATTGCATGCATATATAAAATTGTCAACACATGAAGTGAATATTCATGTAATTGTAAACACATGATATACATGTACAGTGTATAAAGGTTAACCTGTGATTGAGGACTGCCAAAAATGAAAATGAAAATGGTGATTGAATACACAAAACAAGAGGCCCATATGCCTCATGCCCATGTCACTTTGACCTGACTGTTCATTCTTGACATCAGGAGTTTTTTTTTTAATTTCCCTCTCATTTCATAAAACTTTTGACTCCATATTGTAGACTAGAATCTAGCCATAAGAGAGCTGGTATGATTTAGTCAAAGTTGAATCCACACAATATTGGGATGCTTCAATACTAAATATGATCAACATAGCCCTGTTGTACGAGAAGATTAATTTTTTCTATACACAGGCATTATGTAAAATTTGGATCTGTGATTGAGGCCCAACCCTAACCCCATGGCTCATGATTAAAAAAAAAAGATTCTACATAACTGATGTGTTTTGCTTTTTAATATGATGTAGTGAGTTCTTGCCACTCTTGAAAAGATTTCTTCCTATATACTGTAAATGTATTTTATTTACCATGTACAGAGTTTGATGGAAATTGATTTTATAGCAAGTAAGCGTTGATTTGATTTAGCACCTTATACCAGTCTAGACGAACTCCAAAAACAGCATGAACTCCGAAAATGAAGTCTTTGGCTCCATCATGCATTGCGGCAAAATGGCGTCCGATGTAAACAAACGATGGATTGTCGTTCGCTTTCTCCAAATATACGGCTGCATAATGGTGTATTTAGTGCATTATTACTTCATTTTATTTTTTGTTAAATGGATAATTGCATTTATTAAATTATTTTGTGAATATTGACTTACTTATCGCTTCAAACTCTTGCATAATAGTGAATTGGATATACAACATCGAATTCAATACTGCCGGTAAGAATTATTTTCTTGTTTAATTTATTGTCTCCTTGATTTAAATTTTATGTCGATCCTACAATAAGGGTTCTTTTGTAATGTTTTTGAAGACACCCAACTTGTATTTATTTTAATCAGAAAATGCGCATTTTCACCACATAGCAGAGACATTAACAAGTTCATTTTTAGAAGACATGTTGTGCCCTTAATATCTAGAAGAGTGGTTTTTAAAGTCTTCATATTGATAGATAATAGGTTTAAAAATGTTTTCATACTAATATCTGTTCGTATGTGATAAAAAATTGGTAAATAACGATGGTAAAAACTTAAGCGTTCAATTCAGATGTCGTACACAAATAACAAACCGGAATGCTGATTTATGTGTAAAATTATATTCAGTCAGGTTTTTAACAGTTACAATATATATTGTCCCATTTTGCATATATATCCCTTTTAGTATGCATATTTACTCCTCAAAACGTATCATTTTCTCTGTAATTGATCTGACTTGAAACGTTAACTTTGAAAGTAAATATCTCCTTTTTTGCAAATAAAATCAAAAATCTGACAAATACGATCTCTTCCAAAGTCTTTTATTTAGCATTTCTGAATACTGGTATAATTGCCATACTTTCCAAAACTTTGCACGGACAGTTTTTGTAGACCCATCATTTTTGTTGAAAAATCACCATTTTTTGTGTGTGTGCGCATGTGCGGACTCTATTTTCGGAGTCTTTTTCAGTCTCAATTTCTTACTTCCAGAAATGCTGTTTTTGGAGTTCGTCTAGACTGTATACACAAGACATTTATCTATGTACATGATTAAGCAGAAGCTTCTTTTGGTGAATGGCGCTAAATGGCATACACAGCCAAATGTTATATATGTGAATTACTCTCCTGTAAAACCCCCATTGTTGTCTTAACCTGGTCCCAAGGGCCTTGATTTGAACTAATTTGAATTTACAACAAACTTGAATCTACATTCCTCAATATAAGTATGATAAATCATGATTTGCTGTTCTCAAGGAGGAGATTTGTAAAGATTTTTTCCGATACATTCTTATGTAAAACTTTGATTGCCCATTGTGGCCCCATCCTACCCTCGGGTGTCATGATTTGAACAACCTTGAATGTACACAACTACAATCTACACTGGGGATGCTTCCATATTAAAATAACTAATCATGGCTTTATTGTTCTTGAGAAAAAGATTTTTGAAGATTTTGTCCTATATATTTCTATGTAAAACTTTGATCTCCTATCGTGGCCGCACCCTACCCAATGGGGTCATGATTTAAAAATCTGAATTTACACTATGTAATGAAAGCTTTCACATAAGTTTCATCTTTTCTGGCCCAGTGGTTCTTGAGAAGATTTTAATAAAAAAAGTGCCATTGAATTTTCACTAATTTTTAAATATCTCCTCTTGAAAGAGGGCATGGCCCTTCCTTTAAATAAACTTGTCTAATGAATCCCAAGGATGTCCTGTACCAAGTTTTGGTTGAAATTGACCCGCTAATTCTGGAGAGGATGACATTGTGAAAAGTTTACAACAACAACAATGACAGATAACAGATAAATTTTGATCAGGAATGCTCACTTTGGCTCAGGTAACCTAAAAAGGTGAATTTGTGATTTATATATGCACATAAAATATGAGTGGATTTGTGATAACTAGTAGTATGCACAAAAAGTAGATAAACTTATGATTGTACATGTATAGACATGAAATGGGTTAATCAGTAATTGTATATACATGAAATGGGTGAGCAAGTGATTGTGTACATATACACATGACATGGGTGAACCAGTGATTATATATATATGAAATATATACAATGAAATGGGTGAACCACTGTAACATATCGTGCTCAACACAACACATGAGCTACCTCTGTCAGTTTCTGATTCAGATTCTGGAGAAGGTATAGGTGGAACCAGAGGTTCAATGGGTTCATTTTCAGTAGGTTCATTTTCAACAGGTTCTTCTTCAACTGGTGACTTAACTGATGCTATTTCAACAGGAGATTGCACAGGCGACATGTTTTCTGGTTCTATTTCTGGTTGAGGTGTTTCTGGTTGAGGTGTTGGCAACTTAGCTTCCTCAAATACTGCATTATTTGTTATTTTAAATTACCAGGCAAGTATGGATGTAAATTGAAATTCCTACACTCCAAAATAACATTTCACAGAGTTTTATGCTGTTTTAAAAAAGAGAGAATTGTATAAAACTTTTGAGTTACCTTCATCATCTCCATCTTTGTCTGTTGTTTCCATGAAAACAGGAGGAAGTGAGTTGGAGCTATGATGGGAAGGTGACTTTTCTGCACCATCAGGGGAGTCTCCCTTCTTACTGTGATCTATGATCAAAGATTGATTAGTGTGTCAAAAATTATCTCAAGCTTATAGTCAAACCTCGTTATCTCGAACTCAATGGGACTGACAAAAAACTTTGAGATATCCAGGGTAAAATGCTTAAGGAATAAGGGGTTGGGACTTCAAAATGACTTTGACATATCTTTGGTATTTGAGATATCCATGTTTGAGAAACCGAAGTTCAACTGTATTATGTTGAGTTGGGGGACAATTTTTTGTTTGTTTGAAAATCCTTGAATATTATTCTACAGTATTAATTTATTTCAAAAACTTAAGATTCTTTCTCTCTCTGACATAACTTAAATATGTCAGAAAACATTTAAGAGGGTCAAATTAAAAGCACTGACATCATTGGAAATCCATGGATTAAATCCATTAAGTCTCACTAATCTCTTTCTCTTTCCAGACTCCAGGGCCATAAAACTTAGATGAGCTCACTTTTGATCTCAATTTCACTTTTCCACTATTAATTCCTTTGATAAAAGTGAGACTGAAATCAAAAGTGAGCAATCTAAGTTTTATGGCTCTGGAGCCTGGCCTCAAGACCATAAACTGAGAATTACAAACGTCAAAATTTAGATTTGAATATCCTGATATTTTCATTTAACAAACATGTTTTAAAAATTGCACGTTTGTGTAATATTTAAAAACGAACATGTTGAAAACTTTGTTTTATTTTTAAATTTATATCAAAATAAGTTACACTAATTTCAATTTTGACTCAAGTTTATTTTCAGTTAATCACTTTATGGTCTTCCTCTAGGTTTCCAATGATATACAGATGTCTGTATGTATTATGAACAAAAATACCTGCGTTTCCTAAATGTAACAAATCCCTAAGAAGACTTTCATAAGATAAACTTTGAAACTTTAAACCCTTTGAGTTTCTATTAAACACTAACCAGACTCAGATTCCTTGAGTTCCTGCTCATCCTCTAATGCCTGTTTGAGTTGCGAGTCCGCCTCTGAGCTTCCATCGAGTCTTGAGGAGTCAAGGTCACTCTCTGGTTTTTCGGCTCCCCATGATTCTTTGGGGATGGAAATGAGATCTCTATTTTTTGGAACAGTAATGGTTTTCTTAGGTGACAAAGAGGGTGTCCTGAACCTGACTTTTAACCCTGAAAAATTGGATATTTCTGTAGGAAAAGTATGAAATATCAAAAGATTAGTTAAAAAGGAAAGGAAACTGATGAAAAATTTGTTAGAGGCTGACAAGAGCTGGCAGTCTTTCACAGAACAGCTAGTACTCATATACATTAGTGTGAAAAGGGACATAACTCTTCATAAGTTTCCATGAATAACAGTTTCTTGTATACAATTAATAAATTACTGTACGTACAAGACACAGTGTAAAGGTATATTTTACATGTCTAGCTTATTGAACAACCAAGACAATTTAATACATATCGTCTATACATTTTATGGGTGATATTTTTTGAAACACATGTAACGAGTATATGTCTTGAATATTTTTTTTCTAAAAGGTGAAAATTGTTTACGTCTGTCTGACACTGGCGAGTGAGGAGATGAGGTTTCTCTCGCTTGTTTCCGTAACTCCAACATTTCTGCATTCCTCCTTCTTAAGGCTTCCCTCTTCTTTAATGTCTACATTCAAAACAAAACAAATGAATGAATTTTGTGATACCATTAAAAGATTGATTTTTTTCACATTTCAAATTCTAATGTTACAATATTTTAAATTCTTAATATTAAATTGCTGAAAATATATATGATTAAAATTATGTTCTTCAGTAAAATTTTAGATATCTACTGGTTGTAATTCAAAGTTATAAAACAAGTTATCATTGAAATTTAATTGTTATTTAAATCATCAATTTTATATATTTCTCTGTTTTAGAAGATTAACTTTGAACATTGAAAAGTTACAGATGTCATTCTGAAAAATAAAGCAAAAGTAAACAGTGATTGTAAAAGTTAAAGGTTAAATACAAACTAGTGACTACTTGCTAAATTTACAATATCTTGAATGAGTCACTCTTACCAACAGAGAATGATAAACAGGACATAAAGAAGAAATCTATGATTCCCAACATCCTTAAAATTTAGTTAAAATGTTAAATTTAGATGTAAACTTTTCATGCATTATTTCTCCATAAATTCAATAATAAAAATACTAAACTTAATGAACTACAATCATTATTTCATAAAAATTATTATACATAAGCATCATGATCATGACATCATGAACAGCAACACAAATATATTGGCAATTTATGAAGTGTGCATTCGGATCACATGCAAACTTTCATACATAATACATATAACAACAAATATAGTAAACGAAATCTGTAAAAATAAATTATGATGATGAAATATAACAGAAAAGTGTGAAAGTTCAAAAATGGCACTGAAAAGTGAAAATTAAAATTTGACCAAAAGTGAAATTAAAAAAAAAGAAAAAACCACATTCATATTGTGTGGTTAAGAAGTAGCATGCAGTTTGTGGTATTTAGTGCCACCATACCATCAACCTCCGAGCAAAAGCATGCTCAGGATTTTGGTGTTTCGATTGATTCTGGAGTTTCAGACTTAACATATGCTGCTCAAATCGTTCGCAATGTTGATGCTGATCATGTGACAGAAAGCCACGATTTTTCTGTGCTGCTGCATGCTAAATGAAATGACAGACACTTATGCTTAATTCAATATGGAACAGTAAATTAATGGTAAATAAAAGTTTTACGTTAAATACAGTAAAACTTGTCGAATCAGGACATCACTTAATTGTTCCATAAATATTGGCAATGTAAGATGCCTACATTCTGAATATTAGACATTTTAAACAATTAAATTAAATGAATTATTAAAAGGCAAGATTTTGGAATACACAACATTTGGATTAGACAAGTTTGACTGGAATTAATGCCCTATCCACATGATTGCACATGAAAGTTTTACTTTGGAGTACTGAAGAAATACAAAGTAGAAATATTAATTAAATAGCATTCACATGACAATTAGTGCAAAATAAACTAATGCATATTATCTTTTTATAATTCATATAATGCATATTAAATTTGATTTTATATATATTAAATATGCTGCTATGACCACATCTTTAAACTTTTGTTTAATTCAATTAAACTCTCAATGTGAATAGGGCACTTAGAAACATAATCATGGGAAAAAAGTATTTCTTTAAGAATTCTGATGTTAATGACAAAGCACCCACACACTGTTTATTCAATTAATTAAAGTACTGAAAGTACTTCTAACTACAAAATAAGATGATATTTGTACCTTCAATCATTTTTAAAAATAGCACTTTACTATATTAGATTTATTAGTTAACACACATGGGGTTCAAAAATTCTCTGTCATTTTAATATCAATGTTAGCGAAAAATATTCTCTGAAGAAAGTTCAACAATTTCAAGCAAGGTATAATATTCGCACCCCCACCTCTCTGGGTTTTACTCTCTTTGTAATTCATTACCTCTCTTAACAATTTGTCCACCATAGGAGCATTGCCTACAAAGCTTAAGTAACCAGCTTTGGACTGATTCTGAAAACAAGAATCAAAAACATTGAGGTTCTATGGAATAGTTAGTTAAGGGGAAACCAGGCTGACTTTTTTGGTGCTTTATGAAAACTGTGAGATTTCAATCCTGTCCAGTAGATATAATGACCTGTTCAAATCTTTTGAAAGTATATATCTCCATATGACCATACTTCTAGTACCTTTATTAGTCTAAATTAAACCTGTCACATTAAATATATCTCAAAAGAAAAAGTAACAAACATTATTTGTAATGTTACTATTGTATAATGTGTTCATGCATATACAGTCTATATATATATATATATATATATATATATATATATATATATATATATATATATATATATATATATATATATATATATATAATTATTTATATTCTTTTTTTTTTCAACAAAAAATTCTTTTTTTATCTCATTAGTGTATTGTGAGATATGATTGTTAACTATACAAATTTTTTGACCAAGAGGCAAAAGGACATAACTATTAATCAGTGAATACAGTCTACACTATACATGTTATGAGAATTCTCACATGACCATTAACCAATTCCATGAGTGTACAGTTTCCTTTTCTCCTATGACAAGAGCTAAAACATTGGAAAGTGAGAATAGCAGATCAAGTTTAAAGTCTCTCCAGTTAAGAAACTTGTAGGACAAGCAAGCCCTGTCATAAAAACTTGAAGAACTTATCAATAAGAAGAATTGAAAATTGTAGTGCGAAAATGATTCAAATTGGTTTAAATAATGTAATTGATTTTCATAACCATCAATTAGCCAGAAGGTTTAAAGAAGACCTTATATGCCAGATTAAAATGAAATTGAACCCTTTGTAGTCCCTGAGCCATTAATAGAATCTGTGCCAAGAATCAGTCCTTAGAGACTGACTTTTAAACTCGCTTCTCCATTGTCAGGAAATGGATTATTCAATAATTTAATGAGGAAAGTAAAATATTAATTACCCGACACAATCACCCAATAAAGATTTAAATCCTTTGCTGTGTTGATCCTTAATTAAAATAGTGGGCCATTTACCATATCAAGGATTAGTTTTACTTATACAAGGTGCATCATTTACCAAGGGGTACTACCAGGCACTTAATTTGGTCAGTTTAAAAGACTTAAGTTTAAACTGTGTGCACGGGTACATGTACATGTATTTGTGTTCTGAGATGTCCTTAATCAGCAAATTAAATGACCATGAATTAGTAATGATTTTAACTACAAGTCTGCCGGTGAATTAAGTTATATTAATTTTATAATTCTCTGAACTTGTTTAAGGTTAGCAATGTGAACTGCTACAATTATTATATGTCACTCACTTTCTGTAAGACAGGTGACACCTGAAATTAATTTTTATTCCTCAGTTTGATAACAGCTATAAAATCAGTTTGCATCACATTTACAATCAACCATATTTTCAAAATTAATTCTGAATTTTTGAAACCAATGACTGTAATCCAACTCTTCAACTTGCTTGTATTAGTAGGTTCGAACAATATTTACTCTTTTAACATATAAGTATAATTGCTTCAGAAACAATTTCTTTTCATAATTTAACTTAATAATTTAATAATTTTTATTAACTTCATGAAAAATAAAAAAAAACCAACATTTTCTGCACCCTGTGTCATTCTAAGATTACCCCCAAAGGGTGGTGAGGATTTTAAAATTCATTTCCTTCCCCAAGAACCAAAGAATTAAGAAAGATCTACAATTATTACAGCTGAGCACTCCTAGATTCTCTGTTTATAGTATATATCAGAAAAAAAGCTAATAAGACCACATGCAGACAAATCATATCCATTTCATCTTACCATTTCTGGATACTGGGTAGGGATATTGGAAAACCCCACTCCTTGAACAAGTTCTTTTATTCCCTCAAGGGAGAGAACTTCTCTGACAGAGGGAATTTTACATGAAACTGCAGAAAGACTTTGAGGGTCGGTGCTGTTTGATTTTTTCACCACATTGTATAAATTAGAAAATTCATTCTGGTCCTCTCCATTGCTTGCACGAGGGGTGTACAGTTGTTGTCCACTAACATGAATTTTATCCAATGGGAAAGAATGAAAGACATTTTCCTTAGAAGAACTCAATGACATTTTGGTTCCATTAGATTTTGTCTTTTTAGACACCCAAGTAGAGTCAGAGGCTGGAGGTTTCATTTTTGGCACCGGTAATGTTCTTTCAAATTCCATCACTTTTTGTTACAAAAACACATGCAAAAATATGTTCTATGAAAGTTAGCAAACACTCCCTTTATTTTGGATGAATGCACAAAAAAAAAAAAAAAATGAATATAGTTTAATTGATAAGAGGGATTTTATTTCTCACAATTCAAGAATGCTCTCTTGGCAGGTTTAATAAATATTTGTCGGAAAAAGAAAAAAAAAAATCTGCATAACATCCATTTTTAGCTCCTTATTCTTCATGATCTAATTAATCAATAAAATTCACTTTTATGTTTTCTCCAACAAATGGCATAAAATAAAAGACAGTGTATCTCCATAAATCGCATAATCCATTGATAAGATCAGATTTGCTGGCACTTTCAATTTTGAATTTAAAATCCGAAATTCAAACAATTGAAATTTTTCAATATCCCCTTTTCACCGCACTTTTAAGGTATAATTCTCATTGATTTTGATTGAACAGTTTTAAAAGAACATTTCACTTATCAGCTTAGTTAAAGATGTTCATTTCCAGGAGAGTTTCAAGTGTAACATAAGAATAAAGAATTAAATTGTACACAAATCATGCGAGTTACCCCCAAGTCTTTATATCTTACGACCGTTTTTGACTCTTTTCTCACCCTGCGATTGTTTGAATTGTCCCATTTGTTTCCAATGACAGTTCTTATTTATTTCAAGCATGAAAGGAACATCTCAAATTCTCTTAATCCACGCAATTCTCCCATCCTCAATGAAAGCATTTGTCTGGGAAAAATCTCAGTAATTCCGTAATACTGGCAACCCTGGAATTGACCACAATGAATGTCACATCCCTTTGGTATTGTTCATTTTACAAACTTTCATCTTCTGGTATTTATTCCCTGTGCAAATAGGCCTGTTGATTTTGTAGCCAAGAACTACCTATCTTAAAACATATTGTGAAGAGAAATTTTTTGAAGTTTCCTTTTTTTTGGTTCTCTTGTTTGCTTGTAACATCAATTGTGTATAGCAACCAAAGTCATGTGGCTAAAGTTTAATTTCCTTTCTTTTCATTTTTCGACACAAAGAAAAGTTGATCATTACATCGTCACCTGTGGAAATCTACGAGGACCAATCTCGGAAAGTGACAGATTTGGAATTGATAAACATCTTGCTAATGGTTTCCAATCTACATACATGTTAATGATCAAAAGTCAAAGTTTTTTTTTTTCTTTCTAAATTTTTATTTATTCAAAGCTAACCCAGGTATCCCTTTAATATGATGCAATTAACAATCTTTTGTGAAAAGTAAAAAGTGTCATTATGTGTTTAAATTTCCCACAATGCAAATTAAACAAAACTTTCAGTTGCCATCCTTTTGAAAATAAATTACTTCAGGAAATCCTTTAGCCCACTCACATTTCAATGCTAAATCTAATTATATAGCATTTACCCACAGAAATTGTCAAGCTTGACAAAATTAAAATTAAGAGTTTGAACCAAAAAAAAGGGGCAATTGTAAGCACTTCTTCCACAAATTATCAAGGAACAAAACTAGTTTTTAACAAACTTATAATTTATGTAGAAATAAATTATGAGAAAGGATTACATTCATCCAATTTTAAACTAAAAACAGATATTCATATAGAACGATCAAAAGATAGATTCATTTGAAATTGTAAAGGTAAAAGAAATTATTGTTAAGTGAGGTTTTTTATGAAGGAAGTTATTATGTTTGAATAGGATGTTTCTGAAAATGAAACTTTGGGTGTATACAATTACAAACTAATGAAAATAATATTTTTTTAATTTTCTAAAACAGCTCATTAGACAAATGATATTGAGCAATACCTGAATCCTTGCATGGCTCATTAATTTTCTTTTTAGCATTGAATCTCATAAAACTGAATTTATTACATAATTTATCAAAATTCATTTTGTTTCAGAATTGAACAATAAATTAACTTATATTGTGCTCTATCTTGAAAATTATTTGTAAAACTGACCAATAAACATTTGAAATTCATGTTCCAAAAAAAATTTTAATGTTTGGGAACATTGATGGATTACAGTAACATCAGCAAACATCAAAATTTCATCCTTTTGATAGTGAAATGGACTATTGAGGTGTCGATGTCATTCAGAAATCATGGCAAACATTTCCACGTTGCCCCATAATTTAAGTAAAGTTAAGGACATTAGAATGGAAGGTACTTGCAAAGGACTGTTTTTGGAGAGGACCATTTTGTACTCAATGTTAATAAGAAATATTGTTATATCATTTTCCTCCCCCCCCCCCCCCCCCCCCACTTATTTTTTTGAAAAAATCTTTGACCTAAACTTACTTGGTTCAAACACTGCATAGTTTTTTAACATTATTAGACCACTCTTTGAATGAAGTATTAGCCATACTTTTCCAAGAGCAGAAATATGAACTCCAAACAAGGATTTTACACAAGGTCTGATTTGATTTTGAATTCTGACCTTTCTGTGCATAGTTTTACTTTGACCTTAGCTTTTGACTTAGTAACTTTGCTCAGGGTCACTCATCAAACTTTTCTCATGAGCACTCTGATCCACTTTTGGGCTTTTGGCATAGGGGAGAAAATATGCTCATAAAAAGCATTTAACATGGAGATCTGCTTTGACCTTGAACTTTAACTTATAACTTTAAGCAGAGCACTCTTTGGGTATAGTACGAGCCAAATGAAGTCAGGGGGAAAGAAAAAATGCTTGCAATAAGGATTTTACACAGCAACCTGCTATGACATTGACTTCTGACCTAGAAACTTCATTCAAGGTCAGTGCACACCATTTAAACACATGAACTCTATGGATAGAGAAGTCAGAAAGGCAAGGGGAGAGTCAAAGTGATCCAGACAAGGAATACATTCAGAATCTTTTTTCACTTTGAACTTTGACCTAGAGAATTGGTTCAAGGTCACTCTAACAGTGAACTTTGAGCTAGAGAGCAAAATATGATTTGGACATTAGGATTTCTCACAGAGATGTTAATTGACTTTGACCTTTGTTCTAGAAAAATGGTTCAAGGTTACTGCACATCCTTAACCCACTCTATGGGTAAAGTTTGAGGCAGATTGGGCCTTATGCGGAGAAAAAAATATTCCAGACAAGTGATATCATACAGATGTACAGACTGATTACTATTGGGCACCTGTAGAGCAAAACCCTCATAAACTTGAAATTTTCTCTACAAGATAATCACACTAGATAGGAGGTATATCAAATTTAAAAACTAATTCCTTTTATGACGAAGACCCCCCAACTTTGTGCATTCTTTTCACTTTGTGTGCATTCCGTCTGGCAGTAAATTACATGTCATATAGAAAAAAAAAATTTATGTTGTCATGTCTGACAAGAAGATAACAGTTTCTATACACTCAGGGTCACTGTTGCTGGTATTATGCATGGAAACTATGTTGGCAGAGTAAATATTTGATGTTTATGAATATGAAAGAAGATTCCAACTCTGTTGTTTCTTAAAGCCTGAATCAATCTTTTCTTGTGTGTGACAGCTTGTGTAAGCATACAGGTATTTCGGTACATTGAAATCTAACAGAAATCTCCAATGAATTTTTTTTTTTAATTTTCAAGACTTCGCACCTGTGTCAAAATCAGCCGTGGTTTCCCCCTGATTTAAGCAATATTTCTCACAAAGCAGAGGTATTAATCATGCTTTATTATGAAGAAATCTACACTCATAACAAGATAAACTGCATGTATTAAAGAGATTAAAATTTCTAAAGGAACTTTACTCCTTATCAAATCAATCAATTGAAGGTGATTGCTTTTAAAGGGAGATAACTCCTACTTTTGTAAAGCTAAAATGTTCATGAATTTCAATTAGCAGAAAATGTACTGTCGACAATCATCACTCATCACATTGATTATGTATATAATAAATACCTTTTAGACATTCATAAGCTTATTAAGTTAAAATAAAAAAAAAAAATAACTGGTGTAAGTTTTAATTTTACCTGTTCTGGAATCCATTTGTTAAGAGCATCAATCCACTTGAGCCTTTCCTCTGAATTTCTGGACCCCTCCCCAGAGCCCAAGTCCTCCTCGTCCCCCCAGGTGGTCGAGTGATAGAATCCAGGGTGAATAGATGGCAGAGAGGGATGGAGATTGTCAGCATGGATGAACGGTCCCGCTGTCTTGGGTCGGCTCTCAAAGATTGGGGAGTTGATGGGGAAATTATTCCCTGTCGGGGGATGAAAGGATCTTGCTGAATAGTGACCTGGACCAGGGCTTGTTCCTGATGCATATTGACCCTATAGCAAAAAAACAAACAATTTTTAATAATACTTATTTATATGAAATATTTTCTTTGTGCCATTTCTCAAATATATTTTATTGAGTGTAAATTGTATGAAGTATTTCTGGTGAAGTTCTACAAATTTTAAATCAATAGAACTACATCAACAATTATGCTCCCAGTCATCAAGTCTAAGACTTGAGGGGATTTTGGCTGTTACAACAAAGGGAGATTTCTTGAGACATAAACTACATGTTCAATGGGCCATGAATTACATGGTCTAAATCCAAAGGATAAATTCCACCTTTCAAAGTTTACAGAATAAGTCAGTTTTGAACTTTAATTTAAGGATTATGTCATTTTAAGACTTTAGATCAGCATAGTTTAAAGTGTTTGCTCTTACTTCTACATAAATCTGATGAGCAGGTCATGACCAGGTCACAGAGGTAACGGACAAGGTCATTGTAATCTTATTTTTTCGCAATTATCTCCATAGGGAAGACTAAGTTTTGATTGGAATGAAAAACTATTCCCATTAATGGAATAATTGTCATCTCTAAAAATATAGAATATATTATGTAGTTCTTACAATGACCTTGAACTTTTGCTCAAGAACTTTGAATTCTATTTTGGGGTGAGGTGAAGAAGGAAGGGGGGGGGGGGGGATGCAACATCGGTCTATATATATATACATGTATTGTTATAGGGTACAGTAAAACATGGTTAGTGAACAAACTTTTGAAAATGAATTCATGCTTAATATAGTAAATTTGTTTTATTCCTAGTATTTTTAAAACATTATGAATTTAACAGGTTATAATTATGTTTATAGGGTATCAACAATGTTTGTCAATGGCACTTTGTTTTACTGTACAATGAGAACTGATCATACTTAAAATAAAAACATAAATTATAACTTTGGTAACTAAAAAAAGGTACAAAAAAGTTAAACTAAGTTATCAGAGATTTGAACCACATCTTCAAAGTGTCAAGGTATAATTTAGTAATAACTTAGGCACAAAAAAAGTTATATCTTTTGTATACCGTATATACTCCCCTACAAGTTGGATTTTTGGGAATTAAATTTTGACCCAAAAGTGTACGTCCGACTTATAGTCATAGAAAATTAGGATTTTTTCTGGAAGAGGAATTATAATAATATTGTAACAACTCTAACGATAATAGTTTATAACAATTTGAATTTGATCTAATGCAGGAAATGAAGATCTAAGCTAGGTTACAACATGCATATAAGACAAGTACTTAGAGATTTAAATGATCTTGTATTTGTTAAATTGTAAATAAAAGATCAAATATCAATGTCGTACCCCTAAATAGACTTTGAAATACTGTTAAATACAATGGATTATAAATCTGAAATTGGCTACAGATTCTGTTAAAAGCTGCACCGACTTATAAGCACATCAATGGATAATTCTGATGAAATAATCTGAAAAAATACAACCGACTTAGAAGCAGGCCGACTTATAGGCGAGTATATACGGTAAGTTATATCGTTTATTTCAACAAAAATACATCAAGTCTTATAATTTTAGTGTTCAATTGGATATTTTCTGCTAATAAGAACCTTTTTTAAAAACTTTTTACAGAATATTTAGATATTCTGAACCACACTTATTTAACTTAGCCTACTTAATCTTTGAAGAGCAGACTAAAATGAATTCATTACAAATTTCCTGCTATTTTCAATCTTAAGCAGGTCAGGGCTAGACAAATAGCATTGCCCGACGCCCGGACAACCAATTGCAATTTTGTTTAGTGGGCAAGTTATTTGATAAGTGGTGCCTGCCCGCGGACAAGTGCTTTTTCCCATTTACAAAAAATCATATACTCAATATGTCTTTTGTGTTTCAGCTTTTAAAATATCATGAATCACAACAAAGCATCTGTTTTCGCTGCTGTTGACCACTATTGAACAGGTCTAGGCGGCCTCTGTTTTTGGAGGATAGATTTTATCCTCTGAAAACAGAGGATAGCGGTCTTTCCACCTACCGGAATTTTCAAAACTAAGGGCAGTTAACTCTTAACCAAACAAATAACAGCAACTCTTGCATTTATGAACCGTACGCTGACTTTGAAATCAAAACAAATAAAAGGTACAATTTCATATGATGATGGATAATTCCAGATATTAAATCAATATAACTATATTTTTGTAATTTGCCATCAATCAGTTATTCCGTAATACAGCTTGGAAAACAAATATTGCACTTACCTGCCTGTGACTGAGGTTAATTATAACCATGCTGATTTTCCAGTACCGTAATTATGTGATAAGCAGTTCAGAAATTTTGATAAACATTTTTTTTTGGAAAAATTAATTTTAATTATATTTTATTTCTTTCATTTAATAATTCTTAAGCACATCACTTTGTAATATTTTATTTGTTTTATACACATGGCTGTGTGAATATATGTTAATTTCTTAGTAAACATGTTAAATTATTTATTATATTTACTTATGCTATTCAAATTATTTATTTATTTTTTTTATAATTATTCATTCAATCCATTTATACTTTTATTTGTTTAAATTATAAGGCAGGGTATATTTTGCGTTTTAAATACGCTTAAAATGCGTTTCCTTTTGTGTTTCCTTTTTGAATTAAAAGAAAATATTATAAAAGAAATATTAAAGTCCTTTTTTATTTGTCTAAATAGGGAGAAATTATAAAAAATAAAACAAAATAACAAGAAATATTCAGTATTAATGGAGCACAAAAAGTGCTAACTTTGAAAATAAATTGCAAAATATCTAGACATAGAATCTCAAATTGCCACATACAATCGATAGTTTAATGTTTGAACTTTTATTTGCATGTACTCTGGTGCTTGCACTCTTTGATTAAAGGTAGGCACGAGGTGTTTGAAAATTACCTGTGTTATCCTCTGAAATCGGAGGATAAACTATCCCACAATGCAACGCGGTTTCCATATATGGTAAAAATTTTGGTCGCCATATTGAATTTAGCTATCCTCCAAAAACCAGACCTGTTGAATACTCGGTCGGAACTTCTCTAGAATTTACCCATGAATGTGTTGTTAAAATAAACACAAGTCTAAAACATGACATCTTCCGATGTCGTCAAAAAATTTGAATTGGATTTTAGACTTTTTTTATTGACAAAATATTAAATTCATTCTGTGAATACAGACATGCTACTGTTATTAAAATTGGTTGTTGATTGGCAATCACATAGTCATGAAGTCGATAGCTCAATCGGCATGCATTAGTGTTCACAGATTTGTCTCGTTTGTAGGTTTTCTGAGATCATCTTCACCTTTTTCATTAAATTTATTCAAAGAAAGTATATGGAGTATCATATTGAAGAATTTTGAGGAGAATAGAATGAATCTTTGACTTTACCAATGCCCTGAAAATATCGAAAGAAATCTGGGAGAATTTAGTGATTTTAGATCTAGGTTGATTCCCGTGTAGTGTCTCAGTTGAAAAATAATTTAATGTTAATGATTTTGTTTAAATTAAGAAACAGGTCGGACAAGCATATTTTTTGGTAGGACAAGTAATTTTATGATGGTAACCTGTCCGAGGGCAAGTAATGCAAAATTCTATTTGTCTACCCCTGCAGGTTGTCTTTTTATATTCTGTATTACAACAATATCCTTTGTGACTCCTTTATTAATCTTCAAACCTGGCTTCTACATGAACAAACACACAGACAGGTCAATTACTAACAAACTGCATGTGTATGGCTTTGGTACAATAATCTTTTCAAGGCTTTGGCATGAATTCAGTTTCATAAACCCAATGTCAACCAGCACCTTATATATGCCAATATTTGCGGTGTAGGAAAATTGACCTGCATTTTTGTAAGATATATCCAAATGTTTGAACAATAAACTTTGAAGTATTTAACAAGTGAATTTTTTTAGGACAAAAGTTTAAAGTCAGGTTTGGAACATGATCCAAAAAAGGAATGGAAAACTTGATAGAACATTCTTACTTTTATTAATTTAATGAACTTTAAATATGCCCTGTATGTTTCTTGAAAATTTGTTGCTTTTTCATTTTTGATTGTTCTCTTTTTACCCCAAATCAATCACATTTCATTTACTTTTAATCATTTAATACCTTGATACTCAAGATTTAAATTCATTTGACTAATCAAAAAACATCCTCTCTGGATTTCACAATTGATGTGCCTTTCCAGTACCACTGTAATGTATTCTATTCAAGAAGTCACTCAATATACCAGGCCAAGAACAGCAATCCATTTTGAAGTTGTCACCCAATTATTTGTTTTAGCTATTTAATAGAAAGGACCTTTCACAAGACATTTATATTAATTAAGCTATTAGTTGATTTTATTTCATTCAATTTGACATTAGAAATGATTTGACAGTAATTTCTTTGACCTTTGAATTGAACAAATATAATATATTTGCTAATTATTATGCATGCTTTCAAGAGAGGGAATGACATTTGCTATAGATATTGTTAAAGTTTTGAATCAATCAAGATGCATGTATATAAAAAATCATAAAATGAATTTTTAAATTAACTTGTTGATGGTAATGAGCATGCAAATGACTATAAAACCAAAATCTACTAATCAAATGTATCCAAAAAGTATTATAATAACTGACCCCTCAATGACTCTGATCAATATGTCATATTGGAAATTATTGAGACTTTGCAAGCATTATAAGAATTCTTCCTCCCTGTAAGACATCATGGAATGCAATGGGTGACATACATCATCTGAATCAAATGAAATTGATGACAGATTTAATTTCGCTGTGTTTTCTTATTTCTATAGCTTTTGATTAATATCCTGCAAACACTATTACATTTTGCATTAAACTGCAATATGATGTGTTATAAAGATCACAATATAATTAAATTAGCTACAAATAATTATTAAAAGAAAAAAAAAACTTAATCCTTAATCAAAGCAAATAAAAATCATCAGGTTAATTTTTTAGATTCTAACATTCTTGAAGAATCATTAGGTTTTGATATTAAAGGCCTGGGACTTTCCAATTGGGAAAAACTGACAAAAATATGGTAATGGCAGGGATTATTAGTTACATATAGGTTTGGGGGAAGCTACCCTTTTTTCTTCTTTTTTTAGTGGAGAAAGTAGGAATCCTCTCTTGTGTGATATGATGTTTCATACTAGTCTACATTACTTAACTCATTCTAAACCAAATTCAATGTTAAATTGTCATAAAAATTTGAATAAATACTATATAATGTATAAAATACTATACAACTTGCATAATGGTAGAACACAATTTTAAAAAAAATTGTGCAGGTGCGGATCCAGGAATTTTTTCCAGGGGGTCCATCCCAGTCAAAAAAAATTTTCCAACCCAGAAATTTATTGATAATTTTTTCCGACCCCCCCCCCCCCCCCCCCTCTAGATCCTCGCATGTTGTCTGATGATTTATTTAAAGGGTGTAGGGGAATTTTTCACTCTGTCAAAGGGGAAAATTTTTCACTCAATTTACCATTATGATAATAAAATGTTTAACAATGTACTAGTCTATTTTACATCAATAGAAACATGTACATTTAACCTTAGCTCCTTCAGTAGTACTGGTATGGCTGAGATTAATATATGACATATTTGAAAAAAAAAAAATTATAAAAAATGTCAATGATCACATATTCATCTGTTTATCATTGCTGGGTGTTTCCCATCGTTTATGCAAACATTATTAAAATTTGCACCTTAAAGGTAAATTGTAAAATTCTTAAGTACCAATAATCCACATGAATTGGTGCATTATTGATTTATTATGTAACCCACCTCCACCCAAAGTACTCTCTTCAAATTTAAATGAACGAGAGTTTTTTTACGATGTGTTCTACAATTTAAATCAAAATCATTGATGATCCCTTTGACCAAGTGCCAAAAAAAAAAAAAAAAGAAAAAAAAAAGAAAGTCTGGTCTAAACTGTTTTAAATATCAATCATATTAAGAGAATTTAGCAGTTGTACCTTTAAACTTTGCACAGGGGGACATGGAGGTATTTCTAAATAAATATAATATGTACATTTCTATACATACTGTTTATATTTACTTGAGATCTTAATGTTTGCTTTCAAAATAATGATCTTTCTTGTATGCATTGAGCAGTTGAAAATTTTTGCAATCCATACCCCACAAAATCAATTGAAAACATAAATATTGAAGGTTTAACACGAAAGGATTATTGCCACTAAAGAAAAATCAATTCCATTTTATTATTCTGTGCTCATCGAAATCAAATAAAGTTTTTCATTTATTGAGAAGGCCATTTGATTCTTCTGGTGGAAAAGTTTGAAGGCTACCTTCTCAATTAAGGATCATTATGGGATAGAGAAAAAATCAAAATGAGATTCTAAATATGGTGTTTAACCCAGAAGTTGTCATCTCAGTTTGAGAATTCTCAACCAGGGGATTATTTAAAAAAATAAACATTCCAGAGTCAGGAGCCATATTAGTCTTTCATTTTAAAGTACAAGACTTTGACAATGATTCAATACTTCAGACTATATTAGTCAGGAGGGATTTTTTATGATCTGAATATTTTAACATACTAACATTCTCCCACATCATATATTAAGACATTATTTCACTTCTGATATCAAAAATGTTAAACCATTTTTTTCTCTAGTTTTCTATAGGTAATGGGGGGGGGGGGGGGGGGGGCTACAACTCATCATCAGATCAGAACTTTAATTACTGAGTGGATGGGTACTACAGCAATTCCTACTAACAATTTAAAATTTTTCTCTTTATTCTTGTCACACATATGTTATTCTGGTTTTTTTTTTAAATCAGTTATTCATAAACTGTACTTTGCTCCTATGATTAACACCCCCCCCCCCCCCAATCCACCCACATATTTCCAGAACAAAATTCTTAAGCTTCATTATTAATATTCCAAGTGTAGATAAATAAATACTGTGATATATTACATATTATCAATATACTTTTTTCAACCCTCCAAATATTAAATCTTATAGTCAAGTCACAGTTCTTGTATAGGGTCTGGCGATACATTCCTCGAATAACTGATTTTGTATCTCTTCGTAATATACCAAAATTATTGATAATTATAAATATCTCCTGATTTCTAAACTGTTTTCAAAATTTCATAACATATACATGCATAAACCAAGAATAATTATATCAGCAATTCAAGTGATTTCCAGTAGGATTATATAGGAAATACAATCCTTCGGTATCTTGCACAAATGCCTGGCAGCGGCGGAATCAGGAATTTCATAACGGGGGGCGCAGTAGAAGGCGGGGGGGGTCTGGGAGCTGCATTGAAGCCCCCAGCGGTTCCAGGGTAAAGCCCTGGTGGGGGGGTCGGGGGGCTGCATTGAAGCCCCCAGCGGTTTCAGGGTAAAGCCCTGGGGGGGGGGGCGGGGGCAAAGCCCCCGGAAACTGACGAATTCTAACAAATAAGAGGTGTTTTTCCCCATGATTTTTAGGATAATGCAAACAGATGGTCAAAAACAAAAAAAATCAAAAGGGGGGGTGGGGGGCGCACGCCCGGCGCTGGATCCGCCTTTGCCTGGTAATGTATGTACCTCAATTTCTTGTGAGAAAACTTGTTAAAGTAGCAATACCTCAATCACAAATTTTGAGGAAAAATTATATACATTATTGAGGAACGTATCGTCTGACCTTAAGAGGAATAAGAGTTAAACCCCTCTCTTGACATGGTTCCGATCCATTCCTATGGACGAATTATTTTAGATATATCTTTTTTACATACTTACTAAATTTTTCGTGGGACTAGAAATTCTAGAGTCATATAAGGTGCGTAAATATTCGTAATAAGACACATTGTATCCACTGGGTAGACTGACGTTAACGATTTCTGTGAATGACGGGGACGTTATCCCGTTTGTCGCACGTGAGTTTGCGGAACGACACTGATAACGGTACGGCGTCACTTTATCATCCTTGGTGGAGTCATACGTCACTTCACACAATGTCGGTGCAACGCTGAAATAAGCCATTTCAGCAGACCTAAGCGATCACCACAGAATCGAAGTTTTACGAAAAATCCATGTTTGACTCCTTATTCCCTAAACACATTTTCCGTTGTCTGTGACGTAAGATTGCACGCGCGCACTCGCACAGTTTTTCTGGTAGAAAAAATGGAAACTAGGCATCGCTAAAATAAATATTGGCACTTTAAGATCTGTGTAAATGAAACCTCGGATCAATGTTAGAAAGTTTCACAGACTTCTGCATAGTTATAATCCGTTTATAAACGGAAAGACCTTTGTGCGAGTAGTTGCGTCGGAGAGAAAAAAAAAATCCATTGCTCAACAAACGCATTGAAAGAAATATTTAAAAGACGTCGCTTAGGCAGAGTAAATCCGTTTTAGTTGTGAACTCTTTGATAATAATAATTACACTGATCAATATGGATGTGCCATATTTTACATTTATGGCCAGAATAGAATCAATATATATATGCTTTAATTTTTTTGTTTGAAATGTTTTCTTTATGGTGAATAAACTCCTTTATGCTGCCTTGACTTTATTTAAACCAATCGACCACATTATGAAATTTTTGCATGACTTTGTTAACTTTGAGTGGGGCTTTTTCATACAATCAAATCAAATTATGGCATAAAATTTTATTAGTCCCTTACATTCAAGTGAAATGCCATTGGTATCACAAACCAATAGAGATATTGCAGGTTATTTATTTTCTATTGATTTGGATCCTCTTTAAACAATAAGAAAATTTGATTAAACACTTGAATGTGTTTTTCTTTCCGTCAAGAGTAGGGCAATTAAATTTTGTACGTGATTGATGATACGAAGAGCGGAGTCTTAACTGGTAATAGAATATTTACAGAACAACGTGCCAGTACTAAATCTTAAGTTCAGAAACTCAAACAAAAAGGTAATCAAACAGAAATATTTTCAAGAACATTCCGGCCCTGCTTCTAAGTGTGTTTTCATGTCGTGCTCCAAGAAAAAAAGAGTGAATTTAGATCTCTCTCTCTCTTCACGATTAGGTTTTATAAATATGTAACAACTCACCAAAACTCATGCCATATATTGACTACTGACAGAATTAATTATATAAAGAGACTATTAATAATGCAACAACAAAAATACACCCAAAGAAAACTAAAAGAAAATAATAACCCCCCCCCCTTTAAAAAAAACACACACAGAACAAAACAAAGCATTCAATTTTTAAGCTGTATGCCGGAGTTGTAGAGTGAGACTTCCCCAGTATAGTCAGACCCCCCCCCCCCCCCCACTCCACAGAAGTCTGACTCTAGAGTGAGAGTTCCCCCTGGGGAATTCTGACTCCAGCACAGGAGAAGTTTCACTCGATGGAGACACGTTTTCCTGCGGGCCGGGAAGACCTACGTACTCTACTACTAGTTGTAGAGTCAGCCTTTTCCCGGCCCATGGGAGGTCTTCCCCCTTCGTTTAAACCTGCTTTTACTACAATCAATTTATGGGTTTTTTTGAATTACCAGTGGTGCATTAATTGCATGATTCTGAATTCGCTAATTTAAAACGAGAGAATAGAAAAAAATATTGGAATTAAATTGACAAAATTAGAATTTACTCTAGAGCGAAATGTGGCTCTAGAGTGGGATTTCCACCATGCAGTTGTATAATATCAGTGTAAAGCGAATCTTCCGGGGAAAGTAAGGCTCTAGAGTGAGCCTCCCCCATTGGGTAGTCTTAATTACTGTCTATTGAGACTTCCGGGGGAGGGGATGGCTCTTTGAGGAAGTATGTCTCTATAGAGGGGGAAGGCTCACTATAGAGCGAGACTTCCGGGGGAGGTCTCATTATGAGAGGAAGCCTCGCTCTACAACAAAGATCCCCAGTCTTATAACTCTCACACGCTATTTCATATTACATTTTCATCTATTTTCATTTTAGCAAGAAAATTTGTCCGTCAAATTTAAAACATTTTATATTAAAGATGAAGCATTTAACAGAGAGAGAGAGAGAGAGACAGAGACTGGTCTGTCTTTGTGGGCTTACATTTCTCGTTGAAATCTATGATACTGAAAAATAAAGTAATTTCATGACTGTGTTGTAAAATCTAAAGGTAAATGAAAAGGCTACTTATTTCAGATTAGGGTTTAAACTTTTAACTTTTGATGCGGCGCAAGATGCGCAACATTACGTACATGTAACAACCAGTGTCAGGCGCGGATACGGGAATTTTTCCGGGGAGGGGAGGGGGTGCGCCTCAGTCAAAAAATTTCCACTCAACTCCTTTCCCAAAAGTGAAAAAAACATATTTCTTAACAGGGGCTCACGTTTTCTAGGTGTAGGTGTGTGGAGTCCAAAGTCATTTTTTATTTGCTTCAGTATATACATTTAAAAACTCTGCCAAATCCAGGGGGGCATCCCCACCCACCCCACCCCCTAGATTTCTACCATATTAGTCAAAAACTATTATGAAAAGACATCATTCTTATCAGGTGATTTCAAATCGTGTTGTTTGATGTATAGACAAGACGTGGGAAGGGGGACAACTCTATAAGGACACGGAGCGTGCTCTAAACAGAAACTGAACATTGTGAATATTAAATTTAAAACAAGTTCTCCATGCTAGTCCACAAAATGTATCTCTCGCCAAACATCATAAGATATGAGAATTCATGTGTAATTAATATCAATGTGCCTTGTTAGTGAACTATTCAATTCTGTTAAAAAAAAACTCTTACCATTTGGGAAATACATCGTCTATCAATATTGTGTTGCCAAACCTATATGAAATATGGGAAGCAAGCATTTGGCTTTTTATGCAATGACTCTTTTATGATCGAATTTATAAAGTCTATCTATAGATCGATTGAGTGTGTTTCAATTGTATCTACAGTGTATATATGTACATTAATGGTAAGGTTCTTGAGATAAATTTATACAAAGATGCATATCATTTCTTTTAGCTCGTAGAAATAATCTTAACGCTTAACATTGTCCTTTAATGAATTGGTCACTATTGACACAAATCTGTTATTAAGAGGTGTTGATGTAAATTTGCCTTTACAGATTAATTACATCGTCTTTGTTGATGTCCATAAATTTATTGACGAAAACCTGTAGATTTAAAGCCATGTCATCTGACAAAATTTCACTAGTATTACTTGTATTTCTAATAAAATTCACATTTCTATGAATTGTGTTGCAAGCATGACATATTGTAATTTTTAAGGAGACTCTGAGGAACCGGTAAGTTGTAATTAAGAACTTGTTCATAATCCTTTTGATTTATTCAATGAAATATGCTCAAATAAACATGTCAGATCATGGATTACCTATGGCCAAAAAAGTTCGCCCTAATCGCGGAGGTGAGATTTGTAATTAACCTTAATTAAATATAGGCATTTTAATTACTACTTCTTTCTGTTTTGCATGACTCGTAATTAAGAATATGCATGTAATTTTACCATAATATTGTACGTGCATACACTTTCTTTACTTAAATTCTGAAATCTATGATTATATTAAAGATACATGTATTTGAATAATATATGCGTCTCTCTGGATTGTTTCTATTTTAAATCCCCGAGAAAAATTTGGATTTTTGTAGTGGTTTGTAGAAATATTGCTCTTACGCGTCGCCAGTTATTACAAACCCTTGAATTTCCAAACAAAATCCCTACCTTAATGTCAAAATGATCAAGTGTAAAATTCCTGGCCTCCACGGCCCAAAGGTGGTTTCTCCATGCAGTGGTGGTCATATTCAAAGTAATTCCAAAACAAGGAAATTCTAAAATTCACTGGAAATGTTCCATCGGAAATGTTACACAAACAATGCACTTCAGAAAAATATACCTCTTCTCATGCAAGAATAACTATAAACTGTTCGTCTAGAAAATGAAGAAAAAAATAAAAATACTTTCCCTTTAAAAATAAGCATAATATTGTATAATTAGGCGCCTTTCTTTTCGGGAGGATTATGACTATACATTCAATTTCCAAAGAACGCCCTGTGGTGTTAACAATCCGTATACAATTTAAAATAAAATATATTTATGTGTTTGGAGGTAAAATTGATCTATGGTTAATCATGGCGGATTCAAAATGAGTTTCTTTTACGGAATATGCTCTATCTTTGACAGGAGACTTAGCAGATCATGTTAGAAGATACAAGACAACTGGTAATCCTTTAAACAAACGAGAAAAAAAGTCAAACTACTAGTAGTTGTCAAGCATTTTAAATCCCATTAAGCCTCCCCCAAAACAGGTTTTGTTGAATTCAATAAAAACAAGAAATTATTGTGACGTGATTCAAGTGAAATTATAATGCTTGTTGATGTCTTTATTTGGAAGCGATACCGCGTTATCTATATCAAGGTTCTCATTAAAAGCGCATATAATCAGGGTCTAATCTTTTTTACAAATAGCAGATAGTGTTTACAGATTTCAAGAGTTTTTTTTTAAAATATTCTGTACAATACCTTGAATTTTCAGGCCAATTATCAAATTTTGATCTCCTGTAATTGTATGTTAGGATCCATGGTATTTCAAAACTCAGATATCCTCACACGCAAATAAACATAGGTACAAAGGACCCCCTTCTTTCACTCTACCACACGTACATGTAGTTTAGTAGAACTTTTTTTTTATTTTGAATATTTATATTTTTCAATATTTTCTTTTTTCTTTATTTCGGGGAAACTTGAAACGTGACCAAGACTTAATTATTATCAGAGATTTTTGTTTAATAATAAATAAAGAAATAAAGAAATAAATAAAATAATCAATCAATCAATCAATCAATCAATCGATAAAAAAAAAATAAATAAATAAAAGAAAGTCATGATTCCGTTTAATTCATTCCAAAAAAATGGTATGCTATCAAGTTATATGATTAGTAATAAAAGCATTTTTTTAAACACCATTAAAGCATGTGATATAATTATCACGAGAAGATCTAATATCACTAATCCTACCCATGATTTTGAAAACCAAATACGTCCTTAAATAACTCACAAACTACACACAATGTAATGCATCATTACACGTATAGAATAACACATTAATATATATATATATATATATATATATATATATATATATATATATATATATATATATATATATATATATATATATATATATATATATATATATATATATATATATATATATATATATATATATA